AATTTTTGTTATATATATTAGTCTCAAGTCATTTAAATTGTCACGACTCAAACACCCCTCCGAAATATGTCGTGACGGCACCTAATCTCTACGACTAGGTAAGCCTAATAAATTGCGTAAATACCAATAATGGAAGTAAAACTTATCAACTAACTGCAATAGATACTGAATAACCAATAATAATGCGGCTCGGCATGTACAATAACTAAAACGCTAGACGTACACAGCTTTCCCAAAATCCGAAACATCATGAGTCACAAGCTACAGAAGGAAACTAGTATCTCTATACACCAGAGTCTAATAAAAGAAGTACGGAAGGTAAATGACATAGGATAGAATAGAGGGGGACTCCGTGGTCTGTGGGCGCAGCAGATATACCTTGAAGTTTCCGTACAGCAGCAAGCACTCTCAGCTAATAGCGGGGCTGATAAGAAGTACCTGGATATGCACACAAAACATGTGCAGAAGAATAGCATGAGTACATCACAACGGTATCCAGTAAGTGCCAAGCCTAACCTCGGTAGAGTAGTGACGAGGTCAGGTCCGGGCCCTGCTAGGATATAATAACAAGACAGATGATATAATAAAATGAAGTAAAACGGAGAATTTAATAGAAGGAATTCACAGAGAAATAACAACACACAAATAATGTGATAATAATAGGGGCGCTCCCGAGATACCGTCTCGTAGTCCCAAAAGTAAATACTCAACAGAGGATCTCTCGAGATACCGTCTCGTAGTCCCAAAAGTAAATATTTGAGGAGATCTCCCGAGGTACCGCCTCGTAGTCGTAAAAGTAAATGTGCAGGGAGAACTCCCGAGGAACCGACTCGTAGTCTCAAAAGTAAACACACAGCTCAAACTGATAAGTACAACGGTTAACAACAAGATTTCTACAGTTATACTGATAAAGACAAGGAAAAGCAGAAAATCAACTAGGCATGCTTCACAGAGTTCAAATAAGCAATTAAAGCACGTAGACATGCGATATTAGACTAAACAGGATAGCTACACATATTGGAATAGCTCAATTAAGAATAAAAAACAAACTAATACTCATTTAAACGATATAACTCAAATTAAAGGAAAAACATATTACTACTCAGTAAAATAATTCGGATTTTACAACAAATAGATCGTGTACGTACTCATCACCTCACGTACACGGTGCTCACATATCACAACAGTACCAAATCCTAAGGGGATTTTCCCACACAAGGTTAGGCAAGCCACTTACCTCAAATCAAGCTCAATCAATCAATAAGAATGCCTTTTCCTAGATTATTCAACTCTAAATGACCTAAATCTAACCAAAAATAATTACATATCATAAATACAACTATAATAGACTAATCTAATTAATGAAATCAAAACTTTAACAAAAATTCTGAAATCCGTCCTAAAAGGTCGGCCCGGGCCCACGTCTCAAAATCGGGTAAAAGTCACAAAATACGAACACCCAATCAACCACGAGTTCACCCAAACAAGAATTACCAATATCCAACATCAACTCGACCCTCAAATCAAACTCTTTAAATCACTAGCCTCAACTCCCAAATTCTACCTTAAATACACTCTAACTAGGTAAAAAAATAAATGGGGAAGCAAAATTATTGATCACAAATAAGCACCAGGAACATACCTCGTGAAATCCCTCGAAAAGGCTATCAAGAAATCGTTAGCCCGAGCTCAAAAATGAAGAAAATGACCAAAAATCTCGAAACCTCACTAAAAATGGTTCTGCCCAGGCATTTCCGCACTTGTGGAGCATGGGCTCGCACCTGCGCGTCCGCTTGTGTGGCGAAAAGAGCGCTTCTGCGCAAACCACTTACTTCCCTCTGCTTCCGCACCAGCGATGAAGGGGCCGCACCTGCGGAATCATGTCCGCTTTTGTGCTCTCTCTTCGCAATTGTGGTCGGCCTTGCGCATCTGCGGGCATCGCAGATGCGGCCTTTTCCATGTACCTGCGACCCCTAACCAATCCACCCAACTCCGCTTCTGTGCCATATTTCTCGCACCTGCGGTCAGCCTTGCGCAGGTGCGATTACACCAGAACCAGAAAATCTTCAGCAACTACCCTAAGTCCAAATTCAATCCGTTAAGCATCTGAAACACACCCGAGGCCCCCGGGACCTCAACCAAACATACCAACCAGTCCTAAAATGCCATACGAACTTAGTCGAGCTCTCAAAACACGTCAAACAATAACAAAACACGAATCACCCTCCAATCCAAACTTAATGAACTTAAAACTTTAAATTTCTACAACCGATATCGAAACCTATCAAACCACGTCCGATTGAACTCAAATTTTGCACACAAGTCATAATTAACATTACGGACCTACTCCAACTTCCGAAATCGGAATCCGACCTCGATATCAAAAAGTCCACCACCTGTCAAAATCTCCAAAAATTCGACTTTCGCCATTTCAAGCCTAAATCAGCTACAGACTTCAAATGCACAGTCCAGATACGCTCCTAAGTCCAAAATCACCCAACGGAGCTAATGGAACTGACAGAACTCCATTCCGGAGTCGTCTTCACACAGTTCCGACTACGGTCAAAATCCTAAGACTTAAGCTTCCGTTTTAGGGACTAAGTGTCCCAAATCACTCTGAAACCAAAAACAAGACCTCCCGGCAAGTCACATAAGCAGAAACAAATACGGGGAGAGCAGAAAATAGGGGATCAAGGCTATTACTCTCAAAACGACCGGCCTGGTCGTTACATAAATTATTTACTAAATATTTGAAACTTGTGTAACAATTCACAAAGTGTTAATTAAAAGATTATTAATAGATTTATGTAGTTGATAGAACTTTACATAAATTAGAAACGCATATTCGAAATAAAATTTAAGCGGATTTAGTATATTTGTGCATATTATATACATTAGTGTGCAGTGTGCTTGTACATACACAACCTTGATCTTCAAACTTTGGCTTAGAAAAAGTTTTATCCTGTTGTTTTAAGTTTTTATTTCATAATTGCTAATATTTATGTAGAGGACATCCAAAATTATGATGGATTAAGAGGCCAGGGAAAGATGAGATAGAATTGTTAATTAAGTAATTTTATTATTCCATGTTTGGTAAAATTGGATCTCATTCTCATATATACTGCCTTGGGATATTATGATTAAGTATGATATTAAACATTAAGAGATAAAAAAAATGTAACTAATATGCCATGTTCAACCAGATATTAAATAATTACTTATATGGGAATATTAGATTTTAAAAACTTAATTATAATTACTTTCGTTTTTGGTTTTCAGACAATACATTTCAAGTATAATTGGAATATTCTCTTTTAATTACTGCAATTTATTTAAGAAATTCTCACATAATAAAATCATATATTCATTCTGTTGCCATATCGGCATTTGAAGGTCTTTATGGATTTAACCTATATGTAACACTATCAATGAATTTAACTTTTGTATCACGTTACGCTATTTGTCATATTTTCTAAGTTATTAACTCCACTTAGGTAATCTGATAGTATAAAAGTTCGTTTATAAGAAGGAATGATAAGAAGCCAAACTCAGCCAAAGTTAACAATTTCCTTGGCATGGATTATTCACAAATCAAGGCTATTTTCTTGGTATTTATTTTCTTCTTTTGCTTTCCACAAGCAAAAGGCAATTTCTTTAATGGTCCAACATATCATGTTTATGTATGGAATTCACTCCCAAATAACTCCCCTCCACTATGGGTACATTGTGCATCTAAAGATGATGAAATAGGTTACAATAATATTGCTCCAACCACAAATATCAATTGGTCATTTCATGCTAGTATGTGGTTGAGAACTATGTTTTTTTGTCATTTTTGGTGGAATTCTAAGGACAAATCTTTTGAGGTATTTAATGATTTAGATACATGTGTTAAAGATGCAGGTCAATCTAATATTCCACATCCTACTACTGTTTGTCAATGGGTAGTGAAAGAAGATGGTATTTATTTGACTGATGGTAAAGGTGTAGGTTACAAGTACACAGATTGGTGAGAGACTTGTATGTTTTATCTCATAATACTTCACAATAAATAAGAGTGTTGTTCTTTGGTTGAATTATATGGATTTTTCAGCATATTGAACTATTTAGTTTATTGAAACTAGAGTTCTTTTTAGTGATTTGTAACCTCATTCAGTGTCACTAGGGTTCAAGATTTTAATTTTGACAATCTTAAGAATTTTCGATTATGGCGGTCGAGGATTAGTGAAGATGGTTAGTAGGTGTTCGAATGATTTCTCTTTTGCCGTGCGAGAGCATGCATGGTCTAGTTTAGAGCACCTCATTCTGCTTCTTCTTAGCCTTATCAATATTATATTTATTATTCTATTATTATCTTATCGTTCAATTTTATTATTACTGTTGTTTCTTTTACTTTGGTTATCTTTACTATTTTTTATGGCAATACTTTTCTTTCCTTATGTATTTTCATCTTAGTTTTTTTTTTTACTCTTGTATTCTTCAAACCGGTTTCGAACGCGATTTTCTTGAGCTTAGGGTCTATCGGAAACAACATTTCTACTTCACAGAAGGTAGATGTAATGTCTGCATATACTCAATCCTCCCCAAACCTCACCTATAGGGTTACAATAGGTATGTTATGGTTTTGTAGTATTTGGTTTCTTAAAAGGCTATACTAAAATCAAACATAATTAGACTCGGTACGGTTCGGTGTTTCTCTTTAGGGATTTTCTTTTATTCCATTTCGATTTGTTGGGTTCAGTTTGTTCCATTTCAATTTTATCGAATTATGAACATCAAATTCATTTTTCAGTAATTAAAAGATGGCACCAAAGCAGCAAGTTGGATATCCTTATTCAGAGGAACTAAAATATACATCAAGGGAGGAAATTATAGAGAAAATAAAAGAGCAGATGGAGAAGCATGCCTAAACAAGATAGAGACATGATTTAGGCTAAAGAAAATAGTTCTCTATAAAAACAATGCAATTCTTGATTTTTTCGACACGTTAAATATTAATCATCATTATATATTTTAAATTTATCACATTATATTTGATCTCTAAGTCCGTATATAAAATCCCGCTAATGGCATAATATTAATCATATTCCAAATAGTCAAACTAGTAAAGGAATACCTCAATATCTGATTTCTTTCCACGATTGCAAAATTGGACAGGAATGAACTACTTGCCAATGTTGATGGTATCATAAATCTCCACTCACAAAATTAGAAAGTACTTAAAAGTTTTTTTCTTTTATATAAGACATGCATGATTATAAGAAGCCAAACACAAGCAAAATTGAACAGTTTCTGGGCATGATTTTTTCACAAATCAAGGCTATCTTTTTGTTATGCATTTCTTCTTTTGCTTTTTCACAAGCACAATGTAATATATTTCCTGGGCAAAAGTATGAGATTTATGTATGGAATGCCCTCCCAAATACTCCTCTATACTATGGGTACATTGTGCATCTGAAGACGATGATATAGGGTACCATAATATTGCTCCAACAACCAATATCAAAAAAAGGGTAACTCGGTGCACAAATAATTCCGCGTTTACATAGGGTCTCGGGGAAGAGCTGCACCCCAAGGGGGTGTGATGTAGGCAGTCTACCCTGATGCAAGCAGTAATGGTTGATACCACAGCTCGAACCCATAACCTATAAGTCACACAGAGACAATTTGACTGTTGCTCTAAGGCTCCCCTTCAACCAATATCAATTGGTCATTTCATGTCAATTGGTCTAAAACTATGTTTTTTTGGCCAGTTTTGGTGGAANAGGGCTCTGGTTTAACTGTAAAGGCAGTACAGCATGGATGTGTGGTAAGGAAGAACTTTCTAACAGAGGAACGCGATTGGCTGGTTTTAAGAGCAAGCTTGAATGT